TAGAAAGCGAGGTCGGCAAATGTCATCATATGTTATAATGGTCCTTTTTTCGCAACATCTTCACTTGAAATGAGTACTTCTTGGATAAGTTCTTTTCTAGAACACTCACAGCCACGTACGAATCCATCATTTAAGCTAACCAAAACAAAATTCCTCTTGATACAGTGAAGATTCTTGCACGGCTGTGGTCGTGGATAGCGCGTCAAATAATTTAGCTTTCTTCCTTCTTCTTTTCTTGCTCTTCCCCAGTGCCTCCGCTTTGTTCGCTTTGTTCGCTTTGTTCGCCTTGGTCGCTGCTTGAAGACGAGGCTCCTCCTTCCCTTTCGGAGGCCATCTGCAATGAACATTTGAACAGTCATCTGTCAGTACATGACAGGGATCCGTTACCCACAACCCACCACGGTCACATTACCTTCTTGTAAGCCATCTCAAAGAGCTTGAGTGACTTCTGCTGCAGTTCACTGTACGCCTGTCGGATAGACTCGGCTGTTTCGCTGTCTTTTCTCGCTAACACTTCTCTGACCTTGCTTATTTCTTCCTTTAGTTTGCCAGTCTGTCAGAAAAACAAAAAGCCTCAAGTTATCTCTTCTTATCTAACCCAAATTAATAATCACTTAAATCACAAAGGATGACTGCCCAGTCTTATTAGCCCATTAAGGTTATTTCGGGCAGCCATGTACTCTGTTTATTTTAACTTATCTTTGTTCATCTAATTTCTAATTTCTATATTCTCTGACCATGTTTTCAATTTCGTCTTTACTAAGTCCTCCAGAAGACTGGATAACAACTAAAAATAGAGGGGAAAACTAAGTCAGAAAATCTCTAAGAAGTAAGCACTAAGACGATAATCAATGTAACGTACTGTAGCCTAAAATGTTGTTCTGTTACTGACAGCAGTGTGTTCGCTTACTTTGTTGCTCCCTTCCAGTTCCCTTGTCTCTAGCAGACACATTGACGATGCCGTTAGCATCAATATCAAAGGTGACTTCTATCTGCGGCACACCACGAGGAGCAGGAGGAATTCCAACCTGCACAAGACAATGTATTGCATAGTCAGCATACAAAATCTCCTTACTAGTCCTATAAATTTCTTACTATATTGATTGGGAGAATTTGATGATGAACATCAAGTGTTAAGGTTTACAAGTAGGTTCGCTGCACATGCTTGTACACCTACATTGTACATAATGACACGCATACATGTATTGTAGCCCGGACTTTCAGAACTAAAAGCAACAAGATAACTTCTGACAGATCTTACTAACTAGCTTCACCCTTCCTGTCACGAGGCACATAGGGCCGCAGACAGATCTTACAGTACTACTAACAGTATTTTGATTGGGGCATGTTCTTACCAGCTGAAATTGACCTAACAGTTTGTTGTCATTGGCCATTTCACGTTCTCCTTGGTGAACCTTGATTTCAACTTGGGTTTGGCCATCAGCTGCTGTAGAGAACACCTGGGGGTGGGGGAACAAATAAACAATGTTATTTTAATGCGACTGTGCTATAAAGAGGCTTTGCCGTGGGGTTACCAACCTGGCTTTTCTTTGTGGGTATGGTGGTATTCCTGGGGATAAGTTTTGTGAAGACTCCGCCCAGTGTCTCAATACCAAGAGACAATGGTGTCACATCTAATAACAGCACATCCTTGACGTCACCAGCGAGGACACCCCCCTGAATAGCGGCACCCACAGCAACAGCTTCATCTGGATTGACTGCCTTGCTAGGGGCACGGCCAAAAGTATCTTGCACAATGGACTGCACCTGTTGAGAAAACAGTTATTGCATGATGACTGAATGATATTCAGTTTTGTAATAAGACAAATTATTCTCGCATTTTGATTGCCTCTTATTATGATCTGTTAGAGGATGGACAAATAGAAGACGAAATAAATATTCTTTTTTGTTTCTTAATATTTTTAAAAAAGCAGATTCCATGTCCCCATGCGACTGTTCAGTAATAGATCACAGAAGACATCAAAATGCAGTAAAAACATTGGTAGCACTCAGCTATCACCTTGTATACCACTTTTTTGTTCTTACCACATTTTGACATCATCTGTCATCAACACTTTGCACTATGGAACAGACACACGGCAAAATGGACTCTGTACACATCTCTCATCCTTGTCCATGTTGAAAGCACCAAGTTTGTTACAGGTGTTAAGATCAAGGCAACAGCTGACTTAAAACTTGGCTTCATGTCGCAAGAGAAAAGGCCAAGGACAGAATTTGCAGGAAAACTTAGCCCATACCTTTGGCATTCTCGTCATTCCACCAACCAACAAAATATCACCAATTTCGCTCTTTTCAATGCCGGCATCTCTCAGACATTTCTTGCAGGGTTCCACAGTCCTTTGGATGAGGTCATTGACAAGGGACTCAAACTTTGCACGGGTTAGTTTCATGGCCAAATGCTTAGGACCACTGGCATCAACAGTGATGTAAGGCAAGTTGATGTCTGTCTGTAAAAGTCAGACAAGAAGCCACAATGGTTAAAACAAACACTGAACTNGTTCCTTTAATGAGATGTACACCTTCATACATGTGTGCTTTGTTAGTGAGTAGTAAGTGTACTTTGAGTAGTAAGAGTCACAGTTTCTCAAGCTAAACTACATGTATAAATTACTGTTTTGAGTACAATGTAACCACCTCTCTCTTGAATTCTGTAATGAGATACTTGAGTAGTGTGTTGTCAAAGTCTTCTCCGCCCAGGTATGTATCACCATTTGTGGCCTTAACCTGCAAAACAAGTACAATGTTACATGTAGCTGCTTATTACATTTCCAGTGACGGTACCATGCATACATTGGACTGGATCTAAATAAAAAGAAATGGATAAAGTAGATGTGCAAAATGAAGTGTTATTTTTGTTTCCTTTAACCATCTATTAAGAAAGACCAACAATACAAAATTTCTCACCTCAAATACACCTTTCTGTATTTCAAGAATAGAAATATCAAATGTACCACCACCCAGATCATAAACTGCAATTCTATGGATAAAAAAGCAATTAAATATATAAAAATAATATTCATTATATAACACATTATATAATTCTTCCCAAAGGGTGTGGACAAGAAGTGCCCTACAGCAAACATTAAGACTTTTTTGTGACATTGTATAAGTTTTCAATTATTGACAAATATATTTACATGCCATTATTCTATACATAAATCTACATTGCTTGTTCATTGGTACATCACGTACATGAATGAAAAATAACAAAAGTGTAAATTCCAGTTTTCAGTNTTGTACAATATTTTACCTGTCTCTTAGCTGGAGTACCAACAAGTCTCTCACCATCAGCAGTGAAAGCAACAACAGATGGGGTGGTCCTTGATCCCTCGGCATTTTCCAACACTTTAGGTGTTTTGCCCTCCATTACCGCAACACAGGAGTTTGTTGTTCCAAGATCAATGCCACACACAGCACCCCGCACAGCTTCAGAGCTACAACAATAAAAGCACCATAAATCAAACTTATTTACATGTAATTCAGTCACACAATCAATCAATCAAAACAGCTGTATGTCTGATAACCAAACTCGATCAAACTAACTTAATCCATAGTCTAATTTCAGTTGAGTTCAACTGCATAATTTGATTAATTGACTTAGCCAGGTTTCAATCAGTTGACAATTGCTTAGTAAGGTGCCTGACACCCTCCCAGAACTTATCAAGAGGCAGAGTTTTACATGGTCTTGCATTAAGTCTGTGTAATTCAGAAAGATGCCCACAGCCTGCTGATACAATATAAATCTGATTGTAATTTCATTGATGACACTTGTAGAGTACTCTGCATGTGGATATTAAAAGATAACTATGCAATTACACAAAGTGAGAAATCTGGACCTTGATTCTACAATATACCTATGCCCTAATATGAAGTTAAATTTTCCACCAAAATATTTAGGTATTGCAAATATCAAATCAAAAACTATGTCGCGTACATGTATTAAAAATCTGAATACTGTACATGCAAGCTGGTGTAGTTATGTAAGCAAATTACATAAGATGTCATTTATGTCCTGAATCAAAATTTCTAAAAGCCGTACAAGACATATATCAAAACTCATCCATTGCTGATAAATTCGCACAAGAATTAAACTTTAAACGCGAAGGATTTGTTTAGTTTTGAAAGGTAGCTGTATAGCACTCCTGCTATCAGGTTTATGGGTCCAATGACCACGTGCAAATTGTATTGCCTTTAAAATATTTGTCCCACTTCGATCTTACCTGTAAAAACGACTTTTAAATAATCCATTTCTCGAGAGGATATCCTCTGTGATAACTCTCTGAACAGAGGAAAGAGAAGATCGATTGTCAGGGAATTTACTCGAGGTGCAAAATGTCAAATCACCGGCAATTTAATTCTGCAATCGAGAGGTTCGACACTCACCTGAGTAGCGACCGATCCAAAGGACCTCAGGGATGGCACATGGCGACCAATTCGAGCAAGGTGCTTGAGTGACTTTCGTGCTGTATTTACTGTCGACCACATTTTTAAATTTGGAAGTATTTTTGCTGTAACTTATCCGAATCTTTTTTTCAGGATGGCTGATGCAAGTTTGCAAGGCGCACGAGAGATTTCTTGCGTAAGTGCGGCGCGTGCGCACGCTGACTCTAGAAGTTTTCCATATTAGGGAACCTAGTGTTCAGTCTCTAAAAGACAGTACGCGGTCATCAACAGATTTGTTCCAGTCTTCTGCGCATTCGAATGAATTTTGGCAAAGATTTGGGAAGATAATTGGAAAATAACGCGAAAACGCCAAAAGGAATCCTGCTTAATTAAGGCAAAATAATACAACTTCTTTCATATCTAGGATCTCGAGCTAAATTCTACAGCAAAATGCCCTTTTGCCAGCTGCCTCTGATAAATAAACTTTGTCATTTGTGGCAACAATCCGAAGAGGAAAGTTGTCGCGCACAATTTTATAATTACAAGTAATCCATGATGTAGCTAGCACCACCACAATTCATACAACACACCGTCTATTCCAGCCGGTCCTTGCTAGAACCACGTTAAAAAAAGACAGTGCGTCTTTCAATTCCACGGCACTTGAATTTCCCTCACAAAAAGAGAATCGTTCAATTATTAATAAACAAGAGCGTGCTACCTGTTGAAAGTCTTACGATCTTCCATATCTCAAGTCGAATTTTCCAATACACCAACCAGGTATTTCGCAGGTGGAGAGAACGAATATTGTCCTTGCCACAGAGCGTATTTCTTCAGACGGTAGATTGAACTCCTGTCTGCAAGCTGGACGCATTTTGAAGATGTTGAAATATCTTGCCCTAGCTTTACTTTGTAGTTTAGCTATTTCTGTACTTGGTGAATTTGAAGCTGAGGAGCCCCTTGATCGAGGTAGGTATTGTTTGGGTCTCAAAGCTATGGGACAAAAAACTTGAAGGCAGTTTTAAATTTATATCTTTGACCTTCTTGGACTTGAATTTTATAGGATGGGGAGAAACGATCCAATGGATAACTTTTGAGGCTGGATTAAAGGAAGCAAAAAAGAAGTAAGCGGGAAAACTTTCGTTACAAGCGAAGGATAAAACTAACGCACTAAACAAAACAAAGTTTTGTGAAATAATATAGTAGGTGAAAAGTTCTGATCTGCGCGCGAAGCCTCAAAAATCCACTTAATTACGATCCTACATTTAACCTTAAAACTCTGATTGAATTTTTAGGATTTAAACCAAGTGGTAGTTAGTTTTGATAAATGCTTTCTTAAACGTGCAAGAGGACACAAGTTTACGGCACACTAAAACTAGTCCATAGGATTTAAGCAACTGCTATAATGCAGATAATAGAAGTATCCCTTAATATAAGCGATTGACGAATATGGAACTAAAGATTTCTTTATTTGAATTCGAGATAGATTGAATTGGAGTGATAGTAAGGCTTAAACGGTAGCAAAAAACAGAAACCTTACAAAGAGTCTGAACTTTCTCTGTTCTGATAAAGTTCTAAAATTGCTCTTCAATCGGTATCACGTGGTATTAAAATGTAATTAAGCTAGAACTGAAAAGAAACTGGAAACCACTTTGTGGCAATATCGGTAAAGTATGGCTGAGGGAAAATTCTTTTTGCGCAAAACTGGCCTAGTCTGTGTTAGCCTTTATGCCAGGTTAAACGAAAATCGTCCGCGCGTAACAGAATGAAGATTTTGCTGCGCAGCGCAAAATTTCTGCAGGTTGTTCTTGTATGTGCATTGTATTTTTATTACAATGGCTTTCAGTCGTGAGACAAAGCGTTTTGCTAATAATTTCCAAATAATATAATGAGTGAAGATATATTTTAAAAAAAACAATAAAATGCATTATAATGTTTGAGAGGAAGCCAGATCAGCCATGGCTGGTTTTTATGCGGTCCTATCCAGGTCGAATGTAAATTTGGAAATGTTTTGCTCCTCATTGACTTGATCTGCTCTGATTAAAAGGAATATATGGCTGCCCACCATTGTTTTCATAACTTGTTTTGTTGAACTGGGTTTGTTCTTTGCTTGACTCGGGTGAAGACAAATGTGAATGCATCACCAATGGCAGATATGTCAAAGCAGTTTATAAACAAAGACATATTCGCTGTTTTATGGTTTGATCTTACTGATAAAAGTATGGAACTGCAAAAAACTGTGTGCCTCTCTGCATCAATGAATGTTTCCAAAATATACTGAATCATTGCAACATACGCGAAATTTTCTTAGCTCAGCAATGCTGAGTTTAGTAAATAGGCTTCAGTCGAATAGTCCTTGACAATTGAAATCTTTTACGTTTTCCAATATCTCTTCTTGTTACAGTGATAAACCGTTGATGCTTCTCATATACAAGACTTGGTGTGGAGCCTGCAAAGGTAATATTTATTTACTGTTCGGTTTTTAAATTTGTCAATGAAATTACAAAAGACAAAACAAGACGAATATTTTTTTGTTCATCGCCGCTTGTAATACATTCCCAGAGCCTGCTCTCCTGGAGGTGAATCTTAATCTGAAGAGTTCAAATTTTTCGGCGGAGTAGTCTCTCCCCTACCCTGCATGTTTAACATGTTTAAGAATATTTACACAACAGCACAAGGCGAAGGTCAAGTTTCAAATAGAGCTTTGTGTATTTCTTCGAGTCAGTCATTAATTTACAGTAAACATTTTATGTCATGTTTTGTGCACAGTTCTTTCGAGACCAAAGTCAAAACTAAATGATTTCAATCCTGCCTGGTAGGCGAAGTAGAAGTTAGTCCAAATAAAAGAACTCGACTAAGGCTTTCTTAAACCACAAATCATAGAGCAAAGAACAGACTTTGCAAGACGAGCTAAGCCACTTGTTGTTTCTCTTGCAGCATTAAAACCAGTATTTGCCAAATCCCAAGAAATTGCTGAGCTCAGCAGACACTTTGTGATGGTCAATGTTGAGGTAAGCTGAGAACGTCCAAAATCAGTCAGCTGGCAAAGTGATGTGAACGCGGCTTTTTTCCTGTCAGTAGTAATCCTGCGTATGTAGACAGAGGCGGTTTGAAAGAACATTCAAAAATTCGTCTAAGTTCGCATACACTATGCGTTGTTCACAAACTCACAAACGGCATAAAATTAAAAAATCTTGAAGCTATCTAAAGGAAAAATTCCGCCTGACAAGGAACGTGGTTATATATGAGAACGAAGTCCGAAATGATCATGTGGGCTCGACAAACCTCCCCTTGTCAAAATCCCATTTTTGCGTCTACACAGAAGGGAGAAAATGTAGAGCCAACGATTATAAAATGTACCCTTAGAAAATCAAAGTAACATCTTTCTTTTAAGTTAGAATGACGAATTTTCTGGGCTAAGAAGAACTGATATCCCAAGCTTGGTTATAAAGAAATTAACTTAGCATATTAGAAACTAAACTGCTTAGGCCTGTTTTCATTTGAGTCTCGAAAAGTAATTGTTTTTTCATCAACTACGCTACACGATTGGCTTAAAAAACCTCACGCAACTTTTTCACCCAATCAGAAGTAAAACTAAAACAAATTGACTCACTCGCACTCGTTTTCCCGCGCTTTGCGTCATGTAATTACTTCGAGTTTTGATTGGTTCACTGGATTGGCTGTGTTCTTTGCGATACACTCAAATTGAAAACCGCTCTAAAGGATGCAGTGAACAATAAAGTTATATTTACTTCTATTTTTAGGATGAGGAGGAGCCTAAAGATGAAAAATACCGCCCAGACGGAAGATATATTCCAAGAATTTTGTTTTTGTGTAAGTTTACACTGACAAGCTATAAGTCAGTTTAGTCTTCTTTAAGTGGACTACTGTTTCTGTTAAAACATAAAACCATATTTTAGTTGGCGCGGAATTTACCTAACGATTTCAGGCTGATAGGCATGCGCGCTAAAAACAGAGGTCGTTCTTTCAGTTGCATACTGTGTGTCTTTCTCTATTCCACAGCAGCTGATGGCGAGGTTATGGAAGAATTTTACAATGAAAACGGAAGGCACAAAAACACCAAGTACTATTATGGAAAAACCTCTGAGAGTAAGTTAATAAAGTAATGCAGGGCCGCGATTATCAGTTTTTATTAACTTGGATGCCTAAATTCAAGGAACAGTTTTTACGACATGCGTTTTTTTTTGTTTTTTTGTTGTTGTTGTTTTTTTTGTTTGTTTTTTTCATGTTTATCAGCGCAGTGGGCCTTTTATTCCAACTGAAGTTGTTTATTTGGCCTAAAAATAAGAGTGTTTATGGATCTTTATGATCAAGGAANTCAACGGATAAAGAGTGGTTAAAATGACCCATGAAGAATATTGTCAAAGTCGTGCAAAGTGCTAGAAACTGTTGCTAGCCACCTTAAATAAAGTTTTGCTTTTTTATAGTGGCAAGTGGATGCTGCTTCTCATTCACAAAACATGGTGTGGCTCATGCAAAGGTATTCACCGTTATTTAATGAACTCCACACATGTTATTTCACCGTATAGACCGACAAATGTTTAATACACGGATTACTCCATTTTACAGCCTTGAAGCCTAAACTTGCCGACTCCAAGGAGTTTGCAGAAATGAGTAGACATTTCGTGATGGTTAACACGGAGGACGAGGAAGAACCAAAGGGAAGTCAGTTTGTAGTGGATGGCGAGTACATTCCCAGAGTCCTGTTCCTCAGTAAGTTGTTTTATACGCTCTAGGATAGCAATTATTATCTTCTGCAGTAAATTCGTATACAGTATTACCCTTTTCAAATATACAAGTAAAGATTCTTCACAGATTCTTCAAAGAAAAGCTCATTAAATAACCATTTTGTTATCAGTGACGAGGTCTTAGCAGCATCATATCATAAATTTTCCATCCTGTGCGGGGACTCCCATATAGAAAAGACTGGGGTGCTCGGCGTACCTTTTAGGGGTTAAAAAGCGGTTTTGATATCTCTCAGGGTGTTCAGCCTCAAAGGGTCCACAGCGGGAGCTTTTTCGGTATCTTTTAGGGTATTGAGCCGAAAAAAATATGACAGGAGATAAAGTGTTGTGTTAGAAAATGCACCCCAGAGGGGTAAAAAAGAAAATTGAAGCTACGCCCACAGAACAGGATCTTTACACCTCTTAGTGTGTTCTTTTCAAGCACCCCTGTCCTTTTTATATGGGTGTTCTTACACCCCCCGGGTTTTCCATTACCCCCATGTTGTACATGGCTACAAGCTACTGATGTTGTTGCTCCTTTTGACATTTTTTTTGGCCACTTCACGCTTTTTTAATTTCCTATTCCGTGTTCGCGCTCCATTTTATTTAGATCCTGAAGGAAAAGTCATCGAGGCAATTTGGAACGAGGGAACAAAGCATCCACAAGTCAAGTACTACTACAGCAGTGCTCAGGAATGTATGAGAAACAATAAATTATCTTTTATACATTAAAGAAGTACGTCACGGTTCGCGCATCTTGAAAAGTTTAGCCTAAATTTTTCAAGTTCGTCGTTTGTAATCCGTGTTAATCTTCTCCATCCTTAACCATCCTTGTTCCTTTATGGTTTTTTTTTTTTCTCTTTGGTAATTATCTATCTTGACGCTTTTTCACGCAGGTATCGTATCGTATCATAGTTAGCTACTATTTTTAAGGGTTTTTTTTTCCAATCTAAAGGAAGTTTTAATTTGGTTTAACTGATCAAAGTCTTGTGCGAAAGATCCAGTCCTCCAATCAGTAAGCGCGCTATGTAACCACAATCGTATTAAGTTTGATAAAATTTGTTGATTTGAGTTCCGGTTGTTGCCCCGGGTAAAAATAAATGTGACCTCAAAATAAAAGAAAAACTAGTTTTAACCGTTGGGTTTCTTTCATTATCTTTACAGTGATATCTGCCATGAGGAGAGCTCTTAAAATGAAGGAAACAGGAACACTAGGTATGCTATAAATAACCTTTAAGTTCGCTTGAAAAGCTGAGATCAGTTTAGTCAATCACAGATTCACTTTTCTGTAACGCATTGAGCTGAACCCAGGCTAGAACGGTCAAAAGACAATACAATGTAAATGTTAAATTAATTCATTGTTATAAACATCGACTGGTATTCATTGTAAAGTCAAGTGATTTTGAGCTATAAAAACGTTCAATCACCATAGATAATTTAGTAGATATTTTGTACACATAATTCACATGCCAATACTTTGTTAACTGCAAAGTAAATTTAACATATTAGCCAGTACTTATTGAACCTTGGAACAATGTGAAGGTATGTTTCCAAGTCAGCAAATATTTTCTCTCATTTAGAAAAACCAGAAGAGACGAAAGAAGATCAGCAAAAGGAAGAGAAAGAGGAAAAGAAGGAAGAGAAAGAAAAAGATCCCTGGTGGACTCCCAAATTATCAAGAGGTAACAAGCTCTATGTTGTCCTTTGCAGTGTTTGGTGGTGAAAATAATTGAAATACAGTATTCGTTTTCTGAATTTGCCAAGATTAAGTCTTAACTGTAACTATCCTTAACAGGTTTTGGTGATCATATTAACTGGGTTTCGTACGAGAAAGGACTAAAGGAGGCAAAGGACAGGTTTGTCACAAGTAAACTGATACGGCAGTAATTTAAAATTGTCTAAGTAAAGAAGCTGTTCACGGGAGGTCATGTGATTATAGCGTGAGATTTTCTTCGTATTAGAATTACTATCAAAGAATCAATTTTAAGGGGAGAAAAATCAAAATCAAAAGGGCATCAGAAAGGAAGCCAAAAGAAAAAAGAGAATGTAGTCTTGTAAATGATGCCGGAATGCTTTCTCAATGACATTTTTTTGACGGCGCCTTTGGAGTACGTAATTGCTTGCGCTAAGTTTTGAAATTTGATTGAGAATAGAAATCAAAAAATTTATATCTTTCCTCTGGATTACTTTCACGGATTATTTGCAGTGACTTGTTCCACCCACAGCCTTTGGAATGTTAGTACGCAGTTTATTCTTTCAATATTTATTCTTTCAATTCTTTCAATCGTTGGCTACTGGAATAACCAAAATCCGGTGCGCGGACGACTAAAGGCTATGTTGTCTTTTGTCTCCACAGTAACAAGAACATGCTCTTGATAATACACAAATCTTGGTGCAGCTCGTGTAAAGGTGGGGAAGTCATTGATAAACCTTGCCTTCGTCAATGAGTTTACATTGTACATTTTTCATCTTAAAGAACACGATTTCTAAACCCATTATATTCAACTGGTTTTGTAGGCAGATGCTTTTTAACAATTCTCACTCAATTCACATGTAGCCGCTAAATTGCTGTTTTTGTGACTTTGCAACCGAGTGAAACCCAGTGTCAGTATCTCTAGATCTGGTTTCTTATTTACCTAATGAAATGTTTTAATATCCAATCGCAGCCTTGAGACCTAAATTGGCAAAGCACAAAGAATTCGCTGAGCTCAGCAAGAAGTTCGTGATGGTTAACACGGAGGACCATGATGAACCGAAAGGAGAACAGTTTGACGTGGATGGCAAATACGTGCCAAGGATTTTCGTCTTAGGTTAGAAGACGAAAAATTAACATGGAAACTTGCTAAAGAAACTTTTACATTAATTTCATCGTGGTCTAGTGTGTTAACCGGGAGGAGTAATCCCTTATATGGGCTATATAGGTAAATGCGGCCTTAAGGGTATGGTTTTTCAGCCGTTTTGGTCATTAATAGGGTGTCGATCTTGGCCATTTTGGATACAAATAGGAAGTGGTTTTTGCTCTCTAGTCTTGAATTGGACATGTGTTTTTAGAAGTAGCTACATTTTCATCATTATCAACAAGACCGTCATCAGAAGCCCTTTATAAATTATATTTAGGGCAACTGTACCAGCCGCAACGGTCATAAATAGGGTATCAAATTTTTGGTTAGGTCATAAATAGGGTAGGGAAAATCGCAGATTTTGGTCATAAATAGGGTAAGGGTGTTGGGAAGCGGGCCGCACACCCCCACCCAATTTTTTTTGGGAGTACCCCGCCGGGTGTGTTAACGATAATGGTAACGATATACCGTTGATTAGAATGACGTTGACGAATTTGATAACAGTGATGACGACGACAAAAACAATGATGATGACGATGGTCATGGAGGTGATGGCGGCGGGGATGACAGGGATGGAGGGAGCTGAAGGAGCCATTTACTTATTTTTTTATCAACCCGCCTATCTCTTTCTTACCACAGATTCTAACGGAAAGGTTCAGAAGGATTTATGGAACGAGGGAACTAAACATACACATGTAAAATACTACTATCAGGACGGAGAAGAATGTGAGTTGAATTTTAAGTATTCTTAGAGCTTTCCAGGGAACATATCTACGATTGAAAATGGGTAACAGTCGAATTATGTGCCGTGCTGATTTGATCAATTGGTCCTTACATAAACTCCTGTTTTGCTCTTGTTTTCTTTATTTTGTCTGTAGTCCAATGCATTTTTTGATGATAAACGGTGTAAAATAAAATAACGTGCCTTTTTATTTATTGTCAACTGTTCGTGCCAACTCATTACACTGAACATGACGTACGCGTATTGCCGACAATCTGTTCAACAATCTGTTTAACAATCTGTTCTTTGCTTTCGTCTTGATAGTGGTGACAGTCATGAAAAAGGCATTGAAGATCGAAGACAAACCCAAGGAAGTTTCTGATAACGGTAAATTGAGGACGTAATAAACTGTCAATTCAAAAGCATTGCACGAGGATTACTTCCTCCCCCCCCCCCCCCCCCCCCCNAAAAGGCATTGAAGATCGAAGACAAACCCAAGGAAGTTACTGATAACGGTAAATTGAGGACGTAATAAACTGTCAATTCAAAAGCATTGCACGAGGATTCCTCCCTCCCCCCCCCCCCTCCCCCCAGACCTCTTGAGCGAGACACTTTCTACAAAATTTCGTCTTTGCTTCCACGAAAATTGGGTTTTTCTTTGACATCACCTGTGAACAAGTAAAATTTGCTTTGAGTTGTATAATGAGTATTTAAAAGACGTCGTTAATTTGGTACATTACTCTATGTAGGATGGGGTCAAGATATCAAATGGACTTCAATTGAGGAAGGTTTTGAAAAAGCGAAAGAAGGGTAAGGAATATATCGTTCTGAAACTTTACACTGGGACGCGTTCCACACCGGGAAAACAATGAGGAAACACCTTCTATAAAGCAACATTGAGTCATGGTCACACTACATGTGAAACCTCCCATAAGGGGACACTAAGTTATGATCCTCAGTAGCCACAAAAGGTTACATTTCTTACCTTCTGTTAGAGTCAACTTTCAACTTTCAACTTCAACGTTAAACTTTATCAACTTTATTGGTCTCATTCTATCGCGGAACAGCAAGTATGTAAGTCGTAGTTCCATACAAAGAAAGACGGTTACATCATTTATAACCTCAAAGAACAGTACACTTCCAAAGCTCTCGTGGCTTGGAAGATTGGCACTTATAAGTTAACATGCTCGACATTAAGTCCTTAATAAACCAGGCATGCAACATTGCCAACTGATAAGCTGTTTGCCATTCCACTTGCAGAAAGAAACCGGTAATGCTTATCATCCACAAGTCATGGTGTGGAGCTTGTAAAAGTAAGTAACGTGATCTCAGGAACTGACGCTAAATTGTTAACACTAAGGAAAAAAACCCGAAACGGAAACGAAATCTTCTACTTGGTCTATGTGTAACTTGCTACCTGCTACTATTGAGTGTTAAAGGCCAGCTGCAGGGGCCTGTTTCTCGATGATCCCGAAAAGTTTTTGCACTCGAAAAGCCGTAGCAAAAATCTCAAACTTATGACTTCAGAGCTGTTTTATTAATTTATGCACATATTCTTAATATAAACAGAGGTTCTCTTCATACAAGAAGTTTCAGGCGTATACACCTCTCTGTCTTTAAATACCAATTAACTAAAAAAGGCTTTTCGGGCCCTAAAAGATACCGGGGCTTTCGAGAAACGGGCCCCAGAAGTGTTTATTGCACAATGCCTTTATGCCACTAGTGTATATGAATTTGTTACTTGCTTAGAATCCGGTATATGTTCTCGTTTTCTCTTCTAAGATTTGAAAAAGAAGTTTTCCAAGTCCAATGAGATTGCTGAATTAAGTAAGCTGTTCGTCATGGTCAACATTGAGGTAGGTTATCTGATTAAATTAATAATCTCAGTGCATCGAAAATTTCAGTGTTAGAATAGAACATTTTCCAATTGAAGCCTAACTTGAGCTTGGTAGATGCCTAGCTGCTCCCAGTAAAACCAGTAAACATGAACGACTAAAAGTTGTTCACGTTTTCCAGACCAGAGTCTTACCAGTCTACTTGCGGGAATATAATATCTTTAGAATTTTGCTGTTCCATTTGGATCAGGGCGCAGAAAAGATCAGAATGGCCATTCTTTTCTGCGCCCTGATCTGGATGGGATACCAGTTCATTGCAGATTGCACCAGTTTTCCGGGACTTATTTGCAGGGATGAAGAGAGTGCATTTTTAGACTGAAGTTCCTTCAAATAGACTAAAGTTTATCAATTTAAAACTTAGGCCCGGCGTCTGGATCCAAATGCATATTCCATTCACAAGGGAAAATGCTTGGACTTTCTTTTATTAATACGACCAACAAAATAACTCTAATGAGAACTAACCATGTGTTCTTGCATATTTATACTATTTAGGATGACGGTGGAAAAACAGCAGAGAAATTTGACGTCGACGGCGCCTATGCCCCGAGAATCTACTTCTTAGGTTAGCGAATTGCTTTTAACGTCTCTCCAGTACACGTTCTTCGTTATTTTCAGAGCCGCACCCTACATGGAAAATCTTAATTTGTTTTGTTGTTATTTCCTCAGATCCTTTCACACGTGAGATCATGAAGGAATTCTACAACACGGATCCTTTGTTTAAAGAATACAAGTATGCTTATGGAGAACCAAAAGAAAGTAAGAAGACTTATGTTTCATAGACCCCGATTGACACAAACGCTCTTATTGCGAGCATCCCTCTTTTCCTAAGACCAAGTTAGTATAAATTATAATTCAGACCAGCAATTTTCATGTACACCTGACTTTGTACTCAGTGACATTTTAGGGAAATATTTGATGGTATGCTTAGAAAGACAACCGTCTTATCGAGAGAACTACACTTCTGTGGAAAATTTATAAAAATGTAGTTTATCAAGCAAATGTTGATTCTTTTTCCGTTTTAAACTCTTCTGAACCAGGCCATTCTATTTCTAGATTTTCACGTGTTATATACGTAGTAGACATGATACTGTGATATTAGTTAATTTTGATACTTGGTTAACAATTCTTAGTTGTTGAAATGATGAATAAAGTCCTCGGAAAAGAAATGCACGAGGGGATCGCTCCAGACAAAGGTGAGTGTAAAATGTTGAATAAATTCATACCAATATATTTTGCCCACCAAAACTCGTCACACCTGCCCAACTGACGAAGCAGGTACAACGTAACTTTCATCTTTGGCACGAGCGGAAATAGCATATGGCGTTTAAACCATGCCATAGAAAATACAGCCAATCAGAATACAGGAAAGCCGCTTTATATTCGACGCTATTACATTCAACCTTACCATCATGCGTCGCGCGTATGTCGCATTGGTTGTATTGGCCACTGTAATTTCTACGGCATGGTATAAAATAGTTATTCAACGCTCTCTCATCGTATACCATGGAATATCCCACTTGTCAATTGTATTTTCTTGTTATACAGACTCGCCTAAAGCCTCGTGTGTATACCGAAAAAATACAAGAGACTCGTGATATATGGTATATCGCTTGAAAGTGTTGTATAATTAAGATATATTATGCGGAAGTAATATTTTATTTTCTTGTCATACCTCTTAAGGCTTTGGTGCTCATATCAAATGGATGAAACTCGACCACGCCCTCAAAGAAGCAAAGGCAATGTAAGTGTAATAATTATAAGAGATGAAATAAATCTTTGCTCCTCAATTCTAACTCTAAGAAATTTACAGAGGGCTAATTTGTCTTTGGGTATAAATAAGATTTCTCATTTTTCCCTTCCTTTTCAGTAACAAGCCTATTATGATGGTGTTACATAAAAGCTGGTGTCAAATCAGTCAGGGTAAGTTTTTCACGAGTAAACAACAATAAAAACTGGAACATTTGAGGACGTTGTCATAACAGGAAACGTGAGGCTTGACCTTGGATTATCTATACTTGGGTAATAATGGCATCATGTCGAGTCTTAAGGGGTTTCAATGCTCTAAAAGCAGTGTACACCTCTTCTAAACTGAGGTTTGGTTGTACAATTTTGTCTTGTCAGATGTCAAACCCAAAATTGCTGAGTCAAAAGAAATTGCTGACCTCAGCAAACACTTTTTTATGGTCAACCTTGAGGTAAGAGTTACAATTATTTGAAGGTCGAAAAACATGAAATATTGAGACAAGTTTCCTTCGATATACATGGAGAGAATTTAAAGTCTCACGGAACATTAGCAAATAATTCTTTTGGCGATGGTTTATTTTATTAGGACGATGAAATACCAAAGGATGGAAAATACGACGTGGATGGATCATATGTTCCAAGAATTGTTTTCCTCGGTAATCTTAAAATTTTGTAACTTAAAGCTCTCTAACCTAGGGAATTTATTTCTCACAGAAAAATTTGTTCTTCGTTCCGGCTGACTTACGCTTGAATTGTATAAAACAGATTCCGATGGCAAGTTAAATAAAGAAATCGACAACGAGGGAACTAGTCTTGACAAAACGAAGTTCTTCTACAAGACAGCTGATGAAAGTGAGTACAGGGGAAAAACACCTTGTTTACCTTTAATATTAGTAGCTAATTTGTCCTAACAACGCAATATATTTTCAAGTAGACAGGTGTTGAGAATAAGGAAAATCATGGTATTCCATCCAACTCCGCTTTACTGACACGCAATTTTTAAGGACAGCTTCCCATTACGGAAAGATACCTTGGTCCTCGAGAAAGATACAAACATCTCCTCTTAAAAACTGTTAAATACGGTCACTGGTGTGATTAAGAACGACAAACGAACTCTTTTTTCTTGCCCTTTTAACACATTTTTGTACAAATTAACTTCTCCAATATTGGCACAACTTTGGTGCCGAAACTTTTTCAAAATGGCTGGTGTCCATGCATAGTGTTGTAATGTCTGCGTAATGCTGCCTGTCTGTAGTTGTGTCATTCCTTAGAAATCCGTGTTATTTTTAAATTCTCTTTCAGTTGTCAAGTCTATGAAGAAGCTTATACCGGAACCATCAACTTTAGACAGAGGTATGTCGTCAATTTTAACTTCCAGCTGCACAGAACGATTCTGCATATAATTGTTGTCACTCAGTCTCTGCTTGTGCTAAAGACGTCGTTTACATGGTTAACGTTTTGTAGGGTTTGGTAAACACATTAACTGGATGACAATGGAGAAAGGTCTTGAAGAGGCAAAGAAAAGGTAACATTTTAGTTCTTAGGTTTTTTTTTTTCGCAGCTTATATGCCACCGTTGTTCTACTCTCCTTATATGATTGTTTTCTATAAACTATTGCGTCAGTCTCGTGCAGTAATTTCATGTTAACTATCCACAGTGAAACTCCTATAATGTTGATTATACACAAGTCTTGGTGTGGAGCATGTAAAGGTATGGTAACTGCATTTTTTAAACTTCGAGCGCTGCACAATAACTGCCAACATTCGGGCGCTTGTTCAACCACAATTGAGAAATCAAAAACATGTACCGAGTTTCTATCGAGTTATAGAAGTGGAAGTTTGGGAGAACGATTCGCTCTCTGGATTTCTATGCGGAAATCTATCACGCGACGGAAATCTCGAGCTCATAATCTAATTGTTTAACAGAAACACGATTTTTAACCAATCAGCGCGCGTATTTTCTTAGGACTGTTTTCTAATGTATCTTAGTGGAAGTCCAATGTTTCATAAACCAGCGACGTTTGTGCCTAGTGTCATCATAGCAACTAGTTGCTCACCCAAAGTAATAGGCAACCATGGTGCAAACACATTCCGTCCAGACACATTGCAGTTCTCAGACCTACAAACCTTTGGCGTCTACGATGTTCCGGACGATTTGCATGCTGGTTTATCTTAGTTGGGGACCTTAAATTGAGAAATCCTTATCAGTATTGTTTCACGGGGTGAAAGTCTTNCTTATGGAGAACCAAAAGAAAGTAAGAAGACTTATGTTTCATAGACCCCGATTGACACAAACGCTCTTATTGCGAGCATCCCTCTTTTCCTAAGACCAAGTTAGTATAAATTATAATTCAGACCAGCAATTTTCATGTACACCTGACTTTGTACTCAGTGACATTTTAGGGAAATATTTGATGGTATGCTTAGAAAGACAACCGTCTTATCGAGAGAACTACACTTCTGTGGAAAATTTATAAAAATGTAGTTTATCAAGCAAATGTTGATTCTTTTTCCGTTTTAAACTCTTCTGAACCAGGCCATTCTATTTCTAGATTTTCACGTGTTATATACGTAGTAGACATGATACTGTGATATTAGTTAATTTTGATACTTGGTTAACAATTCTTAGTTGTTGAAATGATGAATAAAGTCCTCGGAAAAGAAATGCACGAGGGGATCGCTCCAGACAAAGGTGAGTGTAAAATGTTGAATAAATTCATACCAATATATTTTGCCCACCAAAACTCGTCACACCTGCCCAACTGACGAAGCAGGTACAACGTAACTTTCATCTTTGGCACGAGCGGAAATAGCATATGGCGTTTAAACCATGCCATAGAAAATACAGCCAATCAGAATACAGGAAAGCCGCTTTATATTCGACGCTATTACATTCAACCTTACCATCATGCGTCGCGCGTATGTCGCATTGGTTGTATTGGCCACTGTAATTTCTACGGCATGGTATAAAATAGTTATTCAACGCTCTCTCATCGTATACCATGGAATATCCCACTTGTCAATTGTATTTTCTTGTTATACAGACTCGCCTAAAGCCTCGTGTGTATACCGAAAAAATACAAGAGACTCGTGATATATGGTATATCGCTTGAAAGTGTTGTATAATTAAGATATATTATGCGGAAGTAATATTTTATTTTCTTGTCATACCTCTTAAGGCTTTGGTGCTCATATCAAATGGATGAAACTCGACCACGCCCTCAAAGAAGCAAAGGCAATGTAAGTGTAATAATTATAAGAGATGAAATAAATCTTTGCTCCTCAATTCTAACTCTAAGAAATTTACAGAGGGCTAATTTGTCTTTGGGTATAAATAAGATTTCTCATTTTTCCCTTCCTTTTCAGTAACAAGCCTATTATGATGGTGTTACATAAAAGCTGGTGTCAAATCAGTCAGGGTAAGTTTTTCACGAGTAAACAACAATAAAAACTGGAACATTTGAGGACGTTGTCATAACAGGAAACGTGAGGCTTGACCTTGGATTATCTATACTTGGGTAATAATGGCATCATGTCGAGTCTTAAGGGGTTTCAATGCTCTAAAAGCAGTGTACACCTCTTCTAAACTGAGGTTTGGTTGTACAATTTTGTCTTGTCAGATGTCAAACCCAAAATTGCTGAGTCAAAAGAAATTGCTGACCTCAGCAAACACTTTTTTATGGTCAACCTTGAGGTAAGAGTTACAATTATTTGAAGGTCGAAAAACATGAAATATTGAGACAAGTTTCCTTCGATATACATGGAGAGAATTTAAAGTCTCACGGAACATTAGCAAATAATTCTTTTGGCGATGGTTTATTTTATTAGGACGATGAAATACCAAAGGATGGAAAATACGACGTGGATGGATCATATGTTCCAAGAATTGTTTTCCTCGGTAATCTTAAAATTTTGTAACTTAAAGCTCTCTAACCTAGGGAATTTATTTCTCACAGAAAAATTTGTTCTTCGTTCCGGCTGACTTACGCTTGAATTGTATAAAACAGATTCCGATGGCAAGTTAAATAAAGAAATCGACAACGAGGGAACTAGTCTTGACAAAACGAAGTTCTTCTACAAGACAGCTGATGAAAGTGAGTACAGGGGAAAAACACCTTGTTTACCTTTAATATTAGTAGCTAATTTGTCCTAACAACGCAATATATTTTCAAGTAGACAGGTGTTGAGAATAAGGAAAATCATGGTATTCCATCCAACTCCGCTTTACTGACACGCAATTTTTAAGGACAGCTTCCCATTACGGAAAGATACCTTGGTCCTCGAGAAAGATACAAACATCTCCTCTTAAAAACTGTTAAATACGGTCACTGGTGTGATTAAGAACGACAAACGAACTCTTTTTTCTTGCCCTTTTAACACATTTTTGTACAAATTAACTTCTCCAATATTGGCACAACTTTGGTGCCGAAACTTTTTCAAAATGGCTGGTGTCCATGCATAGTGTTGTAATGTCTGCGTAATGCTGCCTGTCTGTAGTTGTGTCATTCCTTAGAAATCCGTGTTATTTTTAAATTCTCTTTCAGTTGTCAAGTCTATGAAGAAGCTTATACCGGAACCATCAACTTTAGACAGAGGTATGTCGTCAATTTTAACTTCCAGCTGCACAGAACGATTCTGCATATAATTGTTGTCACTCAGTCTCTGCTTGTGCTAAAGACGTCGTTTACATGGTTAACGTTTTGTAGGGTTTGGTAAACACATTAACTGGATGACAATGGAGAAAGGTCTTGAAGAGGCAAAGAAAAGGTAACATTTTAGTTCTTAGGTTTTTTTTTTTCGCAGCTTATATGCCACCGTTGTTCTACTCTCCTTATATGATTGTTTTCTATAAACTATTGCGTCAGTCTCGTGCAGTAATTTCATGTTAACTATCCACAGTGAAACTCCTATAATGTTGATTATACACAAGTCTTGGTGTGGAGCATGTAAAGGTATGGTAACTGCATTTTTTAAACTTCGAGCGCTGCACAATAACTGCCAACATTCGGGCGCTTGTTCAACCACAATTGAGAAATCAAAAACATGTACCGAGTTTCTATCGAGTTATAGAAGTGGAAGTTTGGGAGAACGATTCGCTCTCTGGATTTCTATGCGGAAATCTATCACGCGACGGAAATCTCGAGCTCATAATCTAATTGTTTAACAGAAACACGATTTTTAACCAATCAGCGCGCGTATTTTCTTAGGACTGTTTTCTAATGTATCTTAGTGGAAGTCCAATGTTTCATAAACCAGCGACGTTTGTGCCTAGTGTCATCATAGCAACTAGTTGCTCACCCAAAGTAATAGGCAACCATGGTGCAAACACATTCCGTCCAGACACATTGCAGTTCTCAGACCTACAAACCTTTGGCGTCTACGATGTTCCGGACGATTTGCATGCTGGTTTATCTTAGTTGGGGACCTTAAATTGAGAAATCCTTATCAGTATTGTTTCACGGGGTAAAAGTCTTACCTTAAAAAACACTCTTTCATATTTCTCACTTTTGGAGTAGCAACCATTTCCATATTGGAAGTGTTTCATTGTCGACTTACCTCCCCGTTTCGCTATTTCTTACTTTGCCTTCCAATACCAACGTTGTTTTTATTTCTTTCAGCCTTGAAACCAGTCATAGCAGAATCAAAACAGATTGCTGAGCTCAGCAAGAAATTCGTAATGATAAATGTGGAGGTAACATGCGCATTGATATTCCTAAACTTATAAATTAACTATTTGCTTCTTTCTCATTCTAACTTGGTACAACCACTTCTTAAAATTAAATTTCGTTACAAAAAGCAAATATGAAGTATACGAAAAAAAAGGTTAATTGCCGTCAAACCGTTTTAAGACAAAATCCGATGAGAAATCGAGAAATTTCAGTTCTTAATGGACAAAAGCCTTGTACTACAATAACGTTAAGTATATTACAGTCCTTTTTTTGCATTTTCTAAAAGTTAGAAATGTAAAAAGTTGCCTGAAATAACACTAAAAACAATTTCCAATGGGAACTCGAGAAAACAAATTTCAAAGTTCAGAGAAATTTTGCAACCACGGGTAAAATGTCATCATCAGTTACGTTTCACCAGTACTTTCAAATGCAAGTGTTTCATATGAACTTCGAAATTTTTTTCCGACATTTGGTGTTGTTAGAAATGATTTATTTTGAAAATATATTTCAAACAGTAGCTTAGAAGGTTGAAATACAATGTAAATAGCCTCGGTACAAAGTTTTCTTCCGTTTCAGTTGTTACTCGAATTTGTGGTGGTTTCCTTCTTAACAAAGCAATGCAATTAATTTTACTCTTTTTCGTGTCTGTAGGACGACGAGGAACCAAAAGATGATCAATTTGTCGTCGATGGAAAATATTTTCCTCGAGTCTTTTTCCTTAGTAAGTGCTACTTCTCAAAGACATTTGATGTCTACAATTTTATATGCTACAATCAAAAATTATTTTAAATGGTTTGGAGCAAATAGGGAGATGTAAGACTAGAGGTGTGCTTGCAGAGCGCTATGAGAAACTGACCTACATTGCAATATCCAAATGTATCTCTACCTCTTGATCTATTTGGTCTCTGCTGTGATGGGCATAGCATGTAGACATGTGGAAATGTAAAAGTGTTCTCTTTATTAACAATTGTTGACTGTCACAGATCACAAGGGAGAGGTCCAAAAAGATATTCACAATAATGACCTTGAATTCATCAAGTACAAGTACTTTTACAACGATGACGAAGAGTGTAAGTACTTTTGGCCCTGTCGCTTCTTTACAACAAAAACTGTCTTAAAACCTTAATCTTTTTAGTCATTATATGGGAACCAACGACTGGCTTGTGTCAGTGTGTGGTTTTCTCATTTTATCTTTCTTTTTTTTCCAAAAGTGATACATACAATGAAAACAGCAGCGAGGAAACTCGTCAAGCCCCCACCGTCCATAGATAGAGGTAGGCTGGAGCTAAATTGAAACTGCACACGTCATCTAATATACGCACGGCCGTGCGTGCGTAGAGATTTCGTTAACGTTTGTGATGGCTCAAAAAGAATTAGGTAGGACAAGCGTGCGTGCTATGTTAAAAATGGTAGATAGCCAACTCGACGCTACGCGTCCCGTTGGCCATAATCATCTGATAACCAACATGCGCGATTGGAATAATTGTTTTATTAAAAACGTCCCCAATATATAGAAAACTAAACTAAAATAACAATAAAAGCGTCCCAAAACATCACGCGGACGCTTACCATATTTGTAGAACATTGTATATTGGCTCATAACCCGTGATGGCTAAGCCAGTGAAAACTCTCGAATTGCGTTATCCAATGATTCAGTTTTGAATAAAATGTGTTGGCTCTTGAAAACCACAAGATTTTGACGTATATAACAATTAATTCATTTTTGTCGTAATCCTAGGACTAGGCAAAGAAATCAACTGGATGAAGCTAGAAGATGCTTATGTTGAAGCAAAGAAGAGGTATGGTTTGATACACGCGCAATTCGTGCAGTCATCATAGTTGAACATGGGCAATGCAAGTCTGCTACGATTGGTCCACCAGTATTCTAAAATTACACACTTTCTTGAGACGGATGTTGTGCATTCAGTAATTTAGCATTGTGTCTTGCTGTTCCTTAGCTGGAGGCCAATTTTTCTCTTTATTCACAAAAGCTGGTGCAGTGCTTGTCAAGGTAAGTGATATAACTCTCTTTTCTTGTACTTACAACATGCTGATGTTGCAACCAAGTGTCTCTATTGTCAAAATCATAGTTTATAGAGGGAAATGGTTAGGAAATCTGACAAAGTTCTTTAATGTATGTTTTTGATGGCAAAATAGAAAAGATGGTTACGTGTGCTCATACAACTAACTAATAGAAGCATTGCGATTATGTAATTCACGCATGGTCAATGAGCATAAAACAAAAGATGTGCAAGGTCGAGGACCATCCAGCACAAATCGTTGCCTGTTTTTTTCCTTTTTTGATGTTTACCAGACTTTTTAACCATTCCCTCTATTAACTGTGACAAAATCAAGAAAACTTCATACCTCTATAGTAGGTAGACCACGTTGTATTAAACTCCATTTCCGTTCATCACTCAGAATAAGTTATAGTGCAGAACATGATTAGCTCTTACTAAAAACACACGCTATTCATTGCATTAACGTTTTGCTCAGTACTTTTTTATTTGCTCAGCTACCACCCAAGAAATTTAACTTTTGCAACACTTGTCGCATAGTACAAGAGCCTTTATTTTACTGAGAAGCTTTTTGGCATGTTATGTAATTTTTCTTTCAGCTTTCAAGCCCAAATTTGCTGCATCCGAGAAGATAAAGGAAGTCAGCAAAGAGTTAGTCATGGTCAATGTGGAGGTAAATTAACGTTTGCTAGATTAGTTCTGTCGATTGAACTCAAGGGCTGGTTTCTCCATCAACTTTTACAGTAACCCTATCTTGAGAAAAGACGTGTAACAAAGTAGATTGACTCTTCGTAGTCGCCTTTGTTCGCTAAATGAGCGTTACAAATTTGGCTACCAGAAAAAAATGAAAAAGGAAACAAAAAAAACCTTGGAACTTTCCAAATACCAGTCAGAGCGTGACTAACCCTAAAAATTAAAAGTCTTTGTATTCTCATTCATGCGAAGATTAATCCCGCGCCAGTCACCATGACATGTTCTCACTACGAGTTATAAATAGTATAAATCAATATCTCTTTTGTGGTTAACCAAACATTGTTTTAATTTTAGATTCGTTTACCACAAAACAGTTTTATTACTTACTATAATATTTAGTTACATCTGACATAAAACCCTGTCGTTTACTCTTCTCTCTTAGGATGAATTTGATAACACCCAAAAGAAGTTTGACATTGATGGAGCATATTTCCCGAGAATCTTATTCATGGGTTTGTATTTGTTTCCTTCATTAACTTCCTTTCTCTGCACTCTAACACCAACAAACTGGACGAAAAAACGGATTTACTCATGTTTGCGAGTTGAGCAAATGTGTGGTAAATTTGGGGCTCTAAATTTGGACTTTATTTGCACTGGGGGGTAAAGCGTGGTAAAACTTGTATATTTGTTTCATAGGAATTTATGTGCAAATGTGGAGTAAATGAAAATGTTTGATTCAAATTTTCTTCAAATTTGCTACCTGTGCAAACAATCAACATTTCTAAAAATTTGTTAACAATAGCGAGGCATCGATCTTTGCCATCTAGCATAGAAGGATCAACGATAGTTAAAAGGTTATCAATTTTTCTTCAGTCACGCTATCAGGTGCGGATTTCGTTATTAGACCACACTGTGGAGCTAATCAATGATTTATATTTTTACAATGACTAGATCCTTTGGGTAACGTGATAGAGAAAGTGACCAATGCTGGAACAGTGTACAAAGAAAGTAAATATTACTACTGGGAACCACAATCAGGTAATAATCTCCTCTATAGAACTACACTTATCCCGCCCTTAGTCAGTAATTATAAGCTTGAAAATTGATGAAAGGAAATTGCTCAGGCAATTATTGCAAATGAAATACGCCATATTCTTGTTCTCGGTATTAGACTGGAACTAGCTTGGAATGGAGGCTCGTCAGGGGAATATCATTAATGATAGATTAACGTCATTTGCATTTGAAAAGACTCCACAAATTAGCCTCAGTTGCAAGCTAGTTCCAGTGCAATACCGAGAATACGCTTAGTAATATGGCATAATGGTAGACATAGATCTTATCATATAAACATTCATTCTGTTGTTGGAAACGGGGACGATTACATGCTTGATTGTAATGTTTTTCTTTTTGTAGTTGTGAGGTCCATGGACAAAGCAATAGACAAGGTCAAAACTATGACAAGACCAAAAGAGGAATTATAATACTGAAGAAGAATTCACGTTTTAAACAGTTTTAATAAGGTTTCTTAGCTTTCCTAAACGTTCACAACTATGCCTGATTTTCGCGGAGAATCTCAATTTTCGTAAATAAATGACAGTTAAAACTTTTAAACCTCTTTCTGTGTTGTGATATGGTTGTTATACGTTGATTCATTTCACCCTTAAGGCAATGGTATCAACGTACAGATTCTCCTTATTGGTCGTCGTATATTTCTTATAGTGCCAGTTGGGAGAGTTTGCCCCGAGATGTAAAATGCAAATTGTCCTTGCTGTTTTCGGTACAATTTTGAAAGTGAAACATTGGTTCACGGAATAAAGGAAAAACTGATTGCGTGATCACTAAATCTCCATCATGTTCGATTCTGAACATTTCAGACGCAATCACATGTGGATCACAGTTTGTTCTTTTGTGTCCTTCCCAGTCCTTTAGTTCCCTCGCGCGGTTGATGTGTTGCTTCCAGATCTTTTCATGACGGGAAGAGGTCTGGAAACGAAGAAGCAAGGGCATCGATCAGTGCAATATTCGAGAGAGGCGCCTCACTTTGCCAAGCAACTGACATTTACCGTGAATTTTTAATAACAAACAGACTGAATACATACAACTTTTTTTATCTAGCAACACGTCAGGGATTCCCTGATTCGAATTGATTAAAAAAATCAAATTAACAATTTCATTCCTCCTTGAAAAAAAACAATACTGCGCGTCAAAAAAGCAAACTTCTTATTACAAATGTAATCAGAATTTCTCAATCCTAGATTTATTCATAGTTTACGTTCTGGTTGCTCCTCGACAAATTTATATTCTACTGAAAGAAATATCAGCGTAGCGTCCGTTCCTTAGATGTATATTCATTGAGTGCAGACAAATGCTATTCGTGAATGTAGCGCATCCTAGCAACATATTCTCTTGGTTTCGCGTGTCAAGTACATCGATTCTACTGAAGCAAAATTAAATAAGCCTAAAATGTGACAAGAAAAACAAGCATGGTTTTATTTAGACGTTCAGTCAAGATGAAACTCAAGATCGCGTTGGCTGTTGTTTTCTGCGCTATAATTGCTGTTTTTGTATGGTATTACGTGAATACTGGTCAAAATCCCATGGTTGAGATTAAGAAAAAAGTCGGTACATTCGTGAAGAAATATTATAACAATGGAGACGAAGATAAAAGCTATGAAAATAATATGACGCGCCCGACGGTTTCAGCCACCACAAGAAAGTTGTTAGGGGGGAAACAAACAGGCAAGACAAATACAGAAGGGACATCGGGTGTTTTAACCAATCAGCACAAGTCTCTGCCTTCTAGTTTGAACACACTGAAAGGAAGACCCCAGGTGCATGCACTGGGCCATATTGCCTTGCTCAACAGCCATCCAAGTATTCCTAGGATGAATGCGTTGCTAGCAAGCGACGCCATCGACTACACCGAAGGCGTCTTGGAGCATGCCAGGAGAACGTTTTATAGAGAGGCAAGACCAAGTAACCGAACAAAAGAGAAATTCACTGTTTTGTTTCTTCATGGCATCGGACTTACCTCCACGATCTGGATAAACATTGGAACGTTTCAAATCTTGGCTGAGTTAGGTTACAGAGCTCTGGCTGTAGATTTACCCGGCCACGGAAACTCCAATGATTTGAGTATACCTTACAAACGGGATGACATCCTGGGATATATGACAAATCTGTTCACCGCACTGGACCTCCATCTGCCGGTCATGGTTTCTCCATCGACGGGAGGTGAATATGCCATGCCGCTATTGATGGCGTACCCTCGCATTCTCCGTGGACTCGTCGCTATCGCTCCATCTGACACGCAACATTATCTAATAAGCGACTACAAGAAACTTTCCGTTCCAATGCTTATTTTGTTTGGCGAGAAAGATGAAACAATGCTTCACGAGTCTTCTCTAGATAGCCTATGGTATGTCCCCAATCGTAAGATTTACATGATAAAGAACACGACCCACGCGTGTTACGTGGACCATCCACCCACGTTTCATAAACTTCTGATCGAGTTTCTGCATCGCGTGGAGTAGCGAACAAATCTTTGAAGCGTCGTTGCTAGAACGAGTCAAACGGGAAACGTAGTACAAACTCAGAAGTGAATTCCTATTTTCCTTTCTCGTTCCTTGGCATTTCTTCCTTTCAAACTTCTTGGAAATAGCCCTGAGAGCAAGGCTTCGCAGTTCCATTTGTTTAATCACGAGTATAAGTAGGGACGGTAGTTGCGCATGCTAGTTCCAAGTTACAAATAATTATACCTCTAACCAAATTGGGAAAGTCGTGTCTGTAAAAACTTGCCGGGTAAAAATCATTTTTGAACGGTTCAAGTCAGAAGAATGAGGGATTCTGCTACAAGAATTAGCCAATAAGGAGTGCCTACGACTTATTCGTCCCCAGGTCATCTCTTGAGATTGTCATTGAATATTAACAAGAGAGGTGCAAGGGCTGATGGGAAGGAAAAAGGAAAGGGAACCACTGGCAGATGTTTCCAAGATGTCGAACAGCGCAATGGCAAATTTTATCGCAAACTGGGGTTTCAAAACAACAACTTTCCATTTTGCCTGTCGTTGTTCTGCTCTGTCCTCTTCCTTCCCATAATTCTCTCCGAATCTCTGAGAAGTTTTACTTCCACCCCGCAAGACACAATGGACGGACTGGGAACGAGTCAGGACGGGTGATACAGGAATTTTTTTAACTAAGCCTCTCTCTCAAAGCGAGGCCTGGTGCACACCATCCATGTGACAATGAGTTCGATTTGCATGTGAATGAAATCTCATTTTCATATAAAAGGTGGGCACCAGCACTCGCTTTGAGAAAGCTAAGAGGCTTAAAATAATTCGGAAATGGTCTAATGATCGCACTAATAAGCAATCAGATTGGGGAATATTTTTTACCACCTTTATTGACAATTACAAATAAACGTTCAGCACAACAACTTTATTTAGGTTCGAGAATATATGTCTTTCAGGTGTAGAAAATGTCTCAGTGTATTCGATTTTTAATTTTACAAAATCCCCATTGTTCCGTACTTGGAAGCCGGTCATAGTTACAATAGCGTGATTAAAGGAGGTACGATCTAGGCTGCAAAACGTGTTAACTCCATTTCCACCCCTAACTCGTTCATTTGTTGTGATTCACGACATTCTCTATTGCTATATAGCAGTGAAGTTTTTTAAAACTTCACTGCTATATATCAATAGAGAACACTCAGCGACGTCTTGACCCTAAAGAAGGTTGTTCCAAACAGCTGTCGAAGTTAGGCAGAAAATAACTATAACACTGATTGTACTTCAGTTCAGTTCAATTAAATACAATTTATTTACACTTATTTTAGTTAACTTACATAAAATTCATTTAATTAGCAAAGATCTAAAATCAGAAAAAAAGACATGCAAAATTACATTAAATAAGAGAAACGTGTGTAGTGGCCAAAGGCGGCTCGGCTAATGATTTCCATTCGGTCTTCTCATAAGAATCTTACATTTAAACAGCAGAATTGTCAACATTAACAACCGAACTAACTTTGTCGCGTATTTTCGATTTCTCCCGCCCAGTTTGTACCATCACCTATTTCCTCGACAAGGTGAAGTTAACAAGGAATCGTGAGAGTGTGAATGGGGTTTACCTGATCGCTGAGAATTGGTGAAATTAAAAATGCCAACTCAGAAACGACGCTGAGATCTGAGATCTTCAATATTTACCGATGACTAAGAAACGGGCTAAAATTTTAACTGAAAGCTCTCCACACTAGGCCGGAGAGATTTGAAAACGGCGTTTTTACTCTACAAATGCTTCAAATCTTTTCCGTCCGCGCCACGCTGGAGAAATTTGAAGACGCAACAATCACCGGTCATTTTGGATTTGTGTTTGAGGAAAGCTCGTGCAGGGAAATAACATGGTTATCGCGACGCCATCGTTTTCCAAAAGCTCCGTTTTCAAAATGGTTTCCGTCCACATTAAAACGCAAAGCTGGCGTTTTCAAATTCCTTGGGTTTGAAGAGCGTTTTGGAAAAGCTCCGTTTTCGTGACGGATTAATGTAGATGGTATGCCTAACCGAAGAAACAAAGCCGGCTGCGTCAAATTTCTCCGGCCTAGAGTGAACGAAGCTTGAGATTCCAGGCTCTCTATCTAGACCATCTTGGGCATGAGCCTGTGCGCTAATGTGGACCAATGAGCATTCGCCCGGCTTAACTTGTTCTTTACCACCATCTCTGCCCTAATGTTAAAAGGACGCATATTTTTCATTTAAACTTTA